CGAGCCGCTGTCCCTTCCCCTCAAGGCCCCACGGTGCTCTCTGAACACCTGCTTGATTGGCCCCCACCTGTCTATTCCTTGCTCCCCCACACCCTGTGCACTTTTGCAGGACTCAGAGTCTGCAAAATTACCTTGCCCATTGGTTCACTATGGCTTACTGTATCTCCCCAGAAGCGTGTTGAGTCCTGGGAATGCTCTCCTCTGAGCCCAGAACAAGACCTGGCTCCCCGAGGGTGGAAGAGGGCGGCAGAGGATCCCACCAGGCCCAAGGCCCCCTCGTCTGGGTGCTCCTTTTCACCACAGGACAGATGCTTTTAGGAAGGAGGCGACCAACTCCAGCAGCCCGAGGCCGTGCCCTGCAGGATGGGCGGCAGCTGGGTCTCCCCTGACTCGGCATCCCTGCACCCCACGTGGCGTACCCCACAGCTGTCATCCCCAGGGCTGTGTCCATGGCACCAGAATTTCAGCCCAGATGTTGTTATTATATGATCTTTACCTTAGAACCCAGTTTGACCTGCCATTTTCTGGCTCTAAGACCTCGGAAGGGTTAAAAGTAGCAGATCAAACAGTGGTAGAATTCATCAATTCATAGGTGACCCTCATCCTGCATTGAGGGGCAGGACCCCATGAAGCAGATGTCACTCCCCTCTTTCCAGGTCTGGGCGAGGTGACTCTCCCAAGATCACACTAGAAGACAGCAGACCCAGAAGGGAGCGTAAGGCTGGCACTTGGCAGGTGTTCAATAAATATTCTGAAAGAGTGAAGGGACAAATGTAAAGCCAGGTCTCCCAGACCCATTCTCCAGCCTTGGCACCACACCCAGACCTATAACCTGGTTTGCACTTAAGAAACACTTGCAAAGATGTTAGCCATTTCCTGGAGTAAGCACATGGTTCTAATGGCCCCCTTTTGATCCCCCAAACCTGCTGGTGGCTCTAATTTCTTAGCTAAGACAGGACTTGAGAACACCCCTCACTGTATTTCAACACAACCTCACTCCAGAGTGGAAATACTGCCTCTTACAAAAGTGGGGAAAACAACACATGGAAAAGAGAGTATTTACTCTGTATTTCTGAGCTGTTTCAAAACCAGTAATTAATCAGAAAGCCTAGAAACTCCGTGAGGATCTATTATTTATCCTTAGCTTCCACTGCCTCTCTGCCCCCACCCTGCTCACCCTCATTTCCCAAAGGCCCAGGAAAAAAGTCAGAACTCCCCAGGTTTAGATTATCCAATGCCTTGATTAAAGAAGAATAAATGGGTCACCTCTGTCAGCATTCACGCTGCAGCTGCATCAAATGGTATTCCTCTGAATCCACCCAATCACTACAGAGGCTTTACCGTCTCTGAATAAAGACAAAGCCCAGCTGCAGCTGCACTTGACCAAGGTCACTCTGAAAATCAGTGGCCGCCTAGCATTAGACCTGGAGCTGGACCCTGGTGCTCTGTCCCGCTGGCGGCCAGCTGCCTCCTCCCAGGAAGCCTCGGCCAGCTGGCAGGTAATTATAAGTGCTAATCATCACTGACACGCCAGACACCAAGTCCCTAAGTTCCTGCATTTGTTAAAAGGCCAAACTACCTGGGTTTTTCTAGGATTGTTTATTTAGAGAGTTCTGACTCGGAACGAGGAGCCTGCCTGGCAACTTCTCAGATGAAAACTGGTTGACGAGGCAACAGAGACTGTTGTTTTATGTGCACTGGTCAGTCCCTCCATTCTGACCTCACCTGTCTCGCAGTAGCTGTATGACTGTGGTTCCATCACCTCAGTGAGCCTCAGCTTCCTTATCTGCAAAAGGGGCTAGTGAAGCCTGCCTTGTACAATTGCTGTAGACAGCCCCATTCGGTGGCTTAATGCAGCCTGATGGCTGGCTCTACGAACGCACACAATGTCTTCCCAAAGTGGAGAGGGTAATTCCTACTTCCATCTCTTTAATGCTATTGGAAAGTATGGATATAGATGTGTTTATATGTTACTAGAATTAAAAATAGGTACTCTAAATAAAAAACACCGGTTCGCACTGTCCTGAATCTAGTCCAGTTACTGCCACTGGACCCGTGGTATATTATTTAGGGAAGTTCACCCACTTTGGCATTTTAGTTTTCTCTTTGAAAGTGATTTCCAAACTTGATGCAAATTTGGCTGGAATAATTGATTCGTATTTTTTTCTGCACACAAATGACAAAAATAGCCTGGAGACTCAAAGGGAACTGACTGTCTCTGGTTCCTGGCTCTCCCTGTGTGCATCCCGGCCTGCCAGGACATCACCCTTGCATTCCAAATACCAGAGCTGAGGCCTCAAACTGGAAAGAATTGGAATAGAAATCCTTGGTGTGACCGTCGGATGACAGATGCTTGCTTACCGGGTAGTACAGGCGCCAGGTGGGTGCTGACAGGGCAGTGGCCTTTGAAGTTCAGGTCCAGTCAATGAAATATAAGGGGCAGAAAAGCTGCTTAGATCTCTGGGTGCCTGGTGAGATATCTGGCGCCTCACTCTACCAGTTGGTATCTTATGATGCTGGCAGAGCTACCTAGTCTTGATGGACCTTGATTTCTTTTTCTGTAAAATGGGCCCACACTATTTTCCTAGATAATAACTGTGGCTTTCTTAAAGTTTTATTTATTTATGCATACAAGAACTGAGGTACAGGTCAGAAGTGTGTGAGGTGAGAGGATTCACCAGAAACAAAGTGGGGGACTAAACAGTCAGATTGACTGAAATACACCACTGAGGGGAGTAGCAGATGGGTCAGGAGAGATCTGTTGTGCCATGTGGGTCACCTCCCTGGCCAGGGATCGAACTTGAGCTACAGTGGCTGCTGATAGCTTCATAGTGTTGTGCTTTAACCCCTTGCACCACCAGGGAGGCCCCTAGATAATAAGAGCCTTGAAGCACACATGAGAATGAATTTAAAGCCATTTACAATTAAAATGCAATACCACGGTATGAGGTATTATTATTTCAGGGACAGTAGAGACTTGCAGGTAATGTTAGTTAAAAAAGACCAGGTGGTAAGCACTTTCTTCCTTTCAGGTCCTTCTATACAGGGGCTTCATGTTCACAGCCCCACTTCCTGCTCATAGTGACCTGCAGGAAGGACTGCTCTTATCTCCATGCTCCTGGCGGGGAAACCTAGGTTCAGAGCGGCTGACCAGCTTGCTGGTCAGCTGATGAAGCATGGTGGTGGGAGGCAGACCCAGGCAACAGGGCTCTGGGGCTCAGGCTCCTAACCTTTTGGCTGTGGAGTCCTCTAAGATCATGACAAACAAGGAATATTTTGTGAGCAGGTTAAGGAAACTTTCCCTACCTGGCCCTCTGCAAGGAGATCTGGGGTTTCCATGTCACCCCAGCTTGGAACTGGGGACAGTGAGCAGGGGCGGTGGTAGTGAGCCAGCAGGGAGGATGCCAGGCCCAGGGGACAAGTGGCAGGAGAGTCTGGCTGGCAAGAATGGCCTTTGGAGCAGGAGCCCGGACAAGGTTCTCTGTCCAGGCACCTCCACCCACCAGCTGTCCCACCTCTGGCCTCCTGACATGTAAAATGGGACCATCATCCTAATCCGAGAGGCTGCTTCAGATGGAAGGAGAGAAGTGACAAAAGCAGATCTCTTGTTGCCACTGACAACTGGCACATAGTAGGTGCTCAATAAACGGCTGCTCTGAGCCTCTCCCGGAGACCTGACGCTAGTGCAGGCGGCAAGGAGTAAGGCCCAGAGGCGTGGCAGAAGGTGCCTAGACTGAATCCCGAGCTGAAGTACAACTCAGGGCTTATGACTATGGCTCAGGGGTCTGGACAGCCTGGATGCATATTCTGGCTCCACCTCAGGCAGGTTATGTCACCTACCTGTGCCTCAGTTTCCTCATCTATGAAACGGATATAGGAACAGCCCCCACTTCACAGGTTTTGGGGGTAAGAGATGTGAACTGGTCCTGTGAAGCACTTAGAATGGCCCCCAGCCCATAGTAGACAATAAATGCGAGCAACACTAACTCTGTTCTGCGTGCTCTCATCTGACGGGCACCCCTGGGGCCTCAGTGGGTTGTTTTCTATTGCAAGCCCCACCCCCACCGCCCCCTGCAAATCTGGTGGATTTGCAGACCCACTAGACAGGTCGGAAATCTGCAGTGTGGTCATAGGACCGGCTCCATACACTCTGGAAGGGGAGGGAGTGCCTTTCAGGTGGCGGGTGAGGGTTTGAAGGTGGTGTCAGTGACGGCCTGGACAGCAGAGTGGGGGCTGGACAGTGTATGCACCTGCCAAGCGCTCAGGGCCAAGCGCTGCTGGACAACTGGACCCACCACGCACATGCAAACATTTAAGCGTTAGGTGCTTCTGCATTTAGAGTTAAGTTTTGACTGAGCTGAGTGGGCTGGTCTATTTCTTTTGCTTGGACTATAAATGAGTCCCTATGCATGGGGTTCCTAAGAGTCCCTATGCATGGGGTCCCTAAGCTGTGTGAATAACCCCCACCCTGATGCCAAACGGGCTATAGGGTGAGAAATGCCTTGAAGCACTCTGCTCCTGCTCGCGTGCAAAAGCAGAGGTAGGTGCACTCTTCCGGGCTGGCTGGAGATTAGTCTGAAAGGTTTTGTGCAGAAGTACAGGAAGACCATCACTTACTTATTGTGGAGGAGAGGAGGGAATGGAAGGGAAGAGAGGGAGAGACGGAAAAGGGGAGGGGGAGAGGGAGGAGGGAGGAGGGACGGAGAGAGGGGAACAGGGAGACAGGGGAGAGAGAGAATAGCAAGAACATAAACAGAAACAAAACCGAGATCGTGTAATCGAAGAATCCTCAGGGCTCTATCCTGGAGCGCGGAGACCCAGTCCCTGATTTTGAGTCGCGCTTGTCATCAAAACCAGCGAGCCTCCATCTCGGCGACCTCGGCGGGCGCGCAGGGCTGGCGCGCAAGGTGGGTGCCCTTATCCCAGCCCTGGGCCTGGGAGGGTGTGCCCGGAAGCCCCCCCCTCCCGCCTGCCCCCTCCCCCGCCTGTCCCCGCCCTACCTGAGCTGGCGCGGCTCGCAGTCCACGCCGGGCAGCAGCAGCCGGGCCGCCTGGCGGACGTCGTCGCTGTCCATGGAGAAGCTGCGGCGGTGGCCGGCGTGTGCCACGGCCACCCGGATCCATTCCATCAGCGGCGGCAGCACGAGGAAGGGCCTGCAGCGGGGGAGGGACGCGAGCGCTCAGGGTGGGCCGAGGCGGCGGGGCTGGCGGCTCAGCCCAACCCCCTGCTCCGGCGACCCCACCCTCCACGCCCCTTTCCCTGGAGACCCTGCCTCTGCATTCCGGTGACGTGGGAGAGCCTCGGGAGACATCTTGAGCACACCGGGGACCTTGGGGCGGGGTCTCCGGAGACTTTGGGGGTCAGTCTCCTCATCTGTAAAACGGGGATAAGTGACCGTGAAGGAATACGCTGTAACTGCCGAAGGACTGTCTCCTCCAGCGATCATGTGAACACGAAGGAGATGACTCACTTAAAGCACCAAGCACAGGGGCTGGGGCTTCTCAGAAAGCCCAGTGAACGCCTCCTTTATTAGCACTTGGGGTGCCTGGTGTGGGGTCCCATCTAAGGTGTCCTCCAACGCTGCCATCCCATCCCCAGCCAAGCCCTGTCATCCACCCCCCTTCTGGAGCTCTCCCAGGCCTCAGAGCTGCCGGAGGGACCCTGGGTGAGCCTGGGCTACACTGGGCAGCTTTGGAAGCCGGTGGGACCACAGCCGGTTCAGCCTGGAATGCGCTGAGAGAACGCCATGGCCAGCGCTGGCCTTCAGAGCTCTGGCCTTCTCAGTGTGACACACCTGTGCTATCTGCCTATTTCTTCCAGCGGTTACTATAATTCTCACCTCACACCAAGATTCCTGCAAATGTGTGCATAGGGGATGTTTGAAAACTCCTGATACATCAGTCCTATGCTGAATATTCTGTTCTGGGTGGGGAGGTGATGGGGAGGCATCCAGATATCCGCAGTGTTTAAAAGCCTTCTCATGTGCATTTTACAGGCATCGGAATTATCTGGAGGGCTTGTTAAACCACAGACAGCTGCAAGTCCCCACCTTCCTGAAGCCATGCCCCACCCCAGACTCAATGGGATGGGGGTGGTGGTAAAGAACCCTGCATTTCTAGAGGGTTCCTGGGTAACACAGTGTGATACTGCTGAGTTGGAGATCGCACCAGGAAGGGCAGCTGTAAGCACTGTTACAGGGCTGGGGATCACCTGTGCATAGAGGTAGATTCCCTGGCTTTATTTCCAGACATGCTGAGGAATATAGTTTTAAAAACAGCCCTTATGACAATGATTTAGGTAGACCAGGATCATGCTTTGAGAACACACCATGTAGATCATAAAGACTTCCTTCCATTCAGCAGGGCTGGGTCTAGGGTGAAGCCAGTGGGACCCTCAGGGGCAGCATTTAAGGCGGTTCTAGGCCCTGTGTACAGGGGCCTGGCGCTGCTCTGCCCATTGCCCCAGCGCCTGCCCCAGGACAGAGCCTGGCAGGCTGTAACACTTCATAAACATTTGTTCATGAAACAAACTAAGATGTACCAATTCCTTATTGGCTGAAGCAGATAAAATCGAGTTTCTGGACCCATGGACCTCGAGGGCAGGGAATTTCTGCCTGAATCGACCCGCTGCCGAGTCTGTCGCCCTTGTTCCCTCATTCTCTCCATCACCTGAGCTGAATCAGGCACTCAGTAAACACACACTGACTTGAAATTGAATTGAATTCTACTGTCTCAGGCGAGCAAAACTTATTTTGGTCACCATGTTTCCATCACGGCTGAAACCAGCCCTGGGTACTCAGGGAGCTCCCCTGTGGGTGGTTTTTCAGAGGCAGCAGCCCCCCTTCGGCCACCCCCCCACCCCGCCTTTCCTCTGCTCAGTGGCCCCAAGCTCAACACACCACCTCAGTGCCTGAGCAGGGGGCTGCGTCTGTATCACAAGCGACTGTAGGCCGCTGCTGCCTTTGATGTTATTTGCAGGGGCCTAGGGCCCCTCCAGCTTCCGAGGAAGACCAAAGGGGAGCAGGAAGTGTCTCTGCCTCCCAAATAACACCTCCACCAAGATGGCTGGAAAGCACTGGCACCAGAACCCTTGAACCCTAGGATTTCAGCCTGCTTTAGAATTTTCTATTTACTATTCTCTCCCTTCAACATTGCCTTTCCCCCCATCACTTTGACCTTAATAGTTTATAAGCTTGTGCGTTTTCTGCCAACAACTCATTTTTTAAAAAGATTGATTTATTGATGCATACAGAACTGGGGTACAGGCCAGAGGTGCAGGGGCGGCGAGAGGAGTCACCAGAGACAGAGCGGGGAGCAGCACAGGCAGCTTGACAAAGTACACTGCTGAGGGGCGCAGCGGGCAGGACTGGAGCGGTCTGCGGCACCATGTGGGTCAGCTCCTGGGTGGGGATCGACCTCGCACTGAAGCAGCTGTGGCTTGGCTTGGCTTGGCAGTGCAGCGCTACAATCTGCTGTGCCACCAGGGAGAGCCCTCCAACAATTCATTTAAAAATCCTCTTATCGGCCCTCCCTGGTGGCGCAGCGGGTTAAAGCACTGCACTGAGTACCTGAAGCCACTTCCGCATGAGTTCGATTCCCGCCTGCCCCGGAGGTGACCACATGGCGCGGCAGACCTCTCCTGGCCAGTACGCTGCTCCCCTCAGCAGTGTACTTCATCGATCTGCCTGTTCTGTTCCCCACTCTGTCTCTGGTGAAGCCTCTCACCGCCCCTGAGCCTCTGGCCTGTACCCCAGTTCTGTATGCACAAATAAATAAATCTCTAAAAAAAAAAATCCTCTTATCTCGCGTACTCAGAGTGGGGAGAATAATTTTATTGGTGATGTTTCTTCTTGGAGAAGTTGGAGATGGGGAAGAATTCTAGGCCTTGAGTTAAGGAGCATTACAGAATGCCAACGGAACAAAAAGATGGCATTCTTCCTACATGTCTTTTTATTTATTTATTTTTCCTACATGTCTTTTTAAAGGGACAATAAGAGAACAGTGCTTGTTCTGCTGGCTGTCGACTTGATTCTGAAGTTGCTGGTTGTGACAAAACCTAGAGGGAGCTGGAGGAGCTCTTGGCTCCGTGAGGTGTTCCCAGGCTGTATTCAACACCAGAGTCCCAGGGCAAGGTGTGCAGAGGGCCAAGGCCTGTTCTCACAGCTCTGTTTGGGGACCCCAGGCGTGAGCATGCTATGTAAGCTCCCAGAGAATTCTAGAGCGAGCTAGGTTTGATAACCCACAATTGGGTGACATGAGATGAGCAGAGGGGATGTGGTCAACTCATACATATCAGTGGTCACTGACATCTTGGCTACGGCTTCCAAGTAGCCCTGTGGGTTGGGAGTGGTTTCAGAAGGGAAGAGAAGGCTGGGTGGGCTCCCTGTGAGCTCAGGGTGGAGGTGGAGACATGCGAGGGTATGTCTTCTCTGAGTTAGGAGACAGTAGATTCTGAGGATGTGTGTGCAGAATAGAAAGGGAGCTTCACTGGGAGGGGGTTGTGTGCTAGAGAGACAGATGTGGGTGGGAGAGACCTGGTTTGGGGTCTGGCAAAAGTGAATTTCGGCTCTGAACTTTCCAGAGACCCACAGTTGACACTGCTCTGGCCTGTAAGCCTGTCAGCTCTCTGTGTCTCCATCTGTCAAGTGGGTGGGTTGGGTTCCGACGGTCTATTACAGGAACTGGCAAACCTTTTCTTTTAAGTGGTGTCAGAAAAACTAAACCTGCCGACATCTTGATCTTGGGCTTCCAGCCTCCAGTCCTGTGAGAAAACCAACTTCTGCTGCTGAAGCTGTCAGTCTGTGTTATTTGGTTCGGGAAGTCCTGTCAGACCAGTACACTTGTGGTTTGACTTTTAGAACAAAGGGTCCCCAACCTGAGAAGTCTTGCCCACCACTGAGGGTTTAGTCTCTGGTAGAAGTACTTCAACAGGAAGCTCAAACTCTTAAGAGGGTCGACAGTTTTCAGTTTGTGTCTTCAACCTAGTGACAAGAATGGAGGAACTCTGTGTAGGCTGGATGGTGCAGAGGTTAGAAGACAGGCTTTCTGGGGAAAGACTGACTCAGAGCTGGCGTCTAGCTGCACCTTCCAGCTGTGCAACTTTGAGCAAGGTGTTTCAATGGTCACAACTGTCTTTCTGAGGTAAAAGCAGGACTGCAGTGCCTACAACATAGGCTGTGGCTGACAGAATAATGATCCACACCAAAGATGTCCACATTCTAATCTTCAGAATCCACGAATGTGACATTAGCTGGCCAAATGGACTTTGCACATGTGATTAAGTTAAGGATTTTGAGATAGCTATCTTGAATTACCTATTCAGTTAGAAGGACAAGGGTCTTAGCTTTTTTCCCTCAAAGATTTACTAGTTCTCCCTGGCGCAATGGGTTAGGATGCGCACTGCAAGCTCGCTGCAGCCACTTCAGTACAAGTTTGATCCTTGACTCCAGAGGTGATCCACGTGGTGCAACAGACCTCTCCTGTCTTGCCCACTACTCCCTCAGTGTGTATTTCAGTCAATCCACATTTTCTGCTCCCCACTCTGTCTCTGGTGGATCCTCTCACTGCCCTACACCTCTGGCCTGTACCCCAGTTCTGTATGCATAAGTAACTAAATCGTTAAAAAATAAGAAAAATAAAGATTCACTTATTTACACTCACAAGAACTGGGGTACAGGTCAGAGGTGCAGGGATGAAAGGATTCACCAGAGACAGAGTGGGGGAGCAGAACAGGTAGATTGAGTGAAATGCACTGCTGAGGGGAGCAGTGGGCAGGTCAGGAGAGGGTCTGCTGGGCCATGTGGGTCAGCTCTCTGGCTGGGCATCGAACTTGTGCTTCAGTGGCTGCGGACAGCCTCACAGTGCTGCTCTTTAACCCACTGTGCTACCAAGGGTCCTTCTAAGAGGGAGATGAGATGGTCAAAGGAGGGCTTGAGAAATGTGAGGACAAGAAGCAAGAAGCTGGGCCAATGTGAGAAAGGGTCCATGAGCCAAGTAGGGCAGGCAGACTGCAGAAGCCAGAAAAGGCTTGGAAACAGATCCCCCCCACTCTCCGCCCCCAAACCTCCAAAAGGACGCTGTCCCATCAGCACCCTAACTTCAGCTCAGTGAGACTGGTTTGTATTTGTGACCCTCAGAACTTTAAAGTAATCAAT